ATGAGCTTCGTTCTGACCACTAACAAAACGTTTGTACTGTAAAAAGTAACTACTCAAATAGTATGCGTATTTATCATTGATTTTGACTGTCTATATAAATTCAAATATATTTTATGGAAAACTAAAACGAAAAAATTATTCCTTGTACTCGTTTGGTAGGAAATTTCGCCTGCTTTATATTGTATACCTAAAGAAAGGGTATTTCTCAGTTTAAAAAAAAGTTTCTAAATTGCCGAATAATTTTTAAACCTACTGACTGCTACACTTGAATTCAAGGTTTAAAAAACCGCGCGCTGTGTTCATCCTGTTTAAGAAAAGGTACGTTTTTGCTTACAGTTTGAGGAAGAAGTCACATAGTTCCCACAAAATATTACAACGGATGTGGAACATGCTGTATACATTATAGGCAGCATTAATAAATTGACGGATATGATGTATAATTAATGATCATCTCACAATCGTAAAAAAGCTCATAATTAAAAACTTTTTATAACCGAATGATACCCTCTCCTTAAGTATAGATATAATTCCCTACTAAACGAGTAGAATGAAAAATTTTTTCATGTTTTCCATAAAATATACTTGAATTTACAAAGGCAGCCAAAATCAATGATAAAAAGGCATACTACTTAAGTAGCCACTTTTTACGGTAGATACGTTTTTAGCGGTCAGAAAGAAGCTCTTTAAAAAGCCGGCATCCTGCCATGACTGAAAGGATTTCAGAATGGACTACATGATACTCAGTATTACAACCGTACTCAATGCCGATTAGCAAGAGACTGTCAATCTTTCGTATATGTCGGCATGTTACACGAATTCCATGCCGTATTGTATTTAGATATTGACCATAACATGCAGTTGTTTGACCTCGTACTAGTCTACCTTAGTAGCACCAAATATTAGGAGCCGAAAGCCAAACATGAGGATATAATTCATTATTTACGCACGTACCCCACCCAAACTGGGCATGGCGGTATCTTCCTTTTCGACTCTAGAATTTGGAATTTGACTTGAGGAATAGCATCCACTGTAAAATATTAAGATGGGGAAAGTGGGCGTAAGTGAACCAAATGCAGACCAAATTCTCGGAGATTTTGATAAATCTCCCTTTAGAAACTAATAAAACTGGGTTAGCTGAGATAGTCTTCTTTTTCGGATAAAATAAGGGTACTATAGCACCCAAAAGCTCAAGCGGATAAACCGTATGCAGAAATCCTAGGCTATGTCGCCCTTCGATTTTAGCGGCTTCAGTCTATCGCGGATTTCATAGGCAGGCATATCTAAATAGGGATCGCGGATTTTTCGCTGGCTCGCGGATCTCTGTGGGCAATGGGTCCTTTGAATTCTGGTGCTTGCTTACTCTGTGGGTTTTCCAAACCAATTTCATACACGGAACGCTATTGTCTGATGGCTGTAATTGGTATTATATAAAACTCCTCAATTGTATATGGTGAGTAGTCGTGCGTGGTATATAAACAGCTTACTTGCATACCAACTTTCAACTAATTTTATCTAATAATGCATCAACATTCATAGTTGGTTAGATGCCGTGCACAAAAGTCTCAAGGCCAAGTGGAAGAGACGAGAAGCAATCGATACAGACTGACGCAAATTGCAGCCGCTAATTAGCGCTCGCACAAAATAAAATATTGATTTTTTTGCCACATTTGAAATTTCAATTGTTCTTTGTACATTGACTCACATCTGACGACGACTGGACAAATTTATCCAATAAAGTTACGTTCTTATCCCAAAGAACGTATTTGCTATCAAATTATATCTCTCTGGATGCCTGCCTTCCAATTTACTGGAAGGAGCTTATGCTCTGTAACTCTGCCGGAATTGTTTGTCAGATTGTGGAAGGACCTAAAATGTATTCACATACCCCATATAAACGTACAGTTTTTACGTCGCGACTTTGCACCTTTCGTGTAGGGGGAGGGGCATTGGAACGCGACTCCCATGATCAAGGTGGCACCACTGTACTTTGTCGTTTTTGCACATTAAAAAACAGATAATACATCGGACAGCAGATTTGGTAATTGATCTGACTCGATACACAAGTACAGTAAATAAGATGAACAACAAAATTTGTATTAAAATGACACATAGGTACCACTTCCAGTCTCTTGCAGGAATACAAAGTGGTGAGAAGAAGTCAGAAGTGGATTTCTACAGAAACGGGAATAGGACCCCCTTCCCCATTCCGGGGACACTGCTCTGCTTTTCAGGTTGATGTCAAGATTAGGCATAGGACCAACTTGGGGTTACAGATAAATAACCCTAATAATATGTAACCTTCCTGGAATCTTGTACAAGGCTACCGCAATGGCTTAAGTTATTAGGCAAGACCCTCGCTGCTGCGACCTTCAGGCCCGGTTCTGTTTGTGAAGCTAAGCGAGACGCCAGGCGAGAGATACAGAACCAGTGGAGAAGAGGTTGCAGGTTTGCAGAATTGCCTTTAAAAAGGATCTTAACAAAGAACTCTTTCCGGTCCACCGTACATAATTTCCATGCTGGTGGTCAGTCTTACAAGTAGCTTTCAGCAAGTGAATGAGGTTTTCATGTTCCCTTATGATCTTTTCCGCAAGCCAGACCTTTTTTCCTAATGTTATGCTTCTAAAATATAATCATTCATGGCTTCTAAATTTTAAGCGGGCTTCAATAAGCCAGGAGTGTACAGTCTTTGTCCTTTATGCCCGGGTAAGCGACTTATGCAAGTATGCCAGCTAGTAAGCCATGTTCGATTAACCGCAATCTTAGAAAATCTTCATATCCTTATTAATCTGTTTTAGAATTCTTCCATGTAGACACAACCTTTTCTCAATTTCGTGCTGTTGCGAAATCCCGAAAATAAAATAAGGCAACCGATGTTTAATTAGTTGGTTTTAGTGGCTTAAATGTTCCTACAGTGGGACGTGCCGCCAACAGCTTACAACATCAAAACCGTCTCCCCAAACGACCTTACCAGAAGTGCTTGTGACCTCTGGCGAGGTGCGAGTGGCTTGATGCGTCGTAAACCCAGTTTCAGGCATTCGATGGTACCCGAAAGGCTAGAAGCGCCAATCACGTGTATGGTTGTCATTAACGGTGAAAAAGGAGGCATAATTTTATCGGAACGGTTAGGATTAAACACGACGACTGGCTCTGCGATGATGAGATGTGATGTGACATCTGACGTTAAGGGCGAAGATTTCCGAAGAGGTCACTCTTCCCCTGCAAATTTTGCAAAGACGCTTTGAAATTCCCGCCGAAATAGCCATGTGACTTTCGCTTAACGCGCCTGTCAGTGTATGGTTCAAAGGCCTCAATTTACTCCCCATAAGCCGTCCTAAGCGTCGTGGCCAACGCTAGAGTTAAGGTCACGCTTGTCAGTCGTAAATGCTTTCAGGCGGCAACAGCCAATCAGATAAGCGACCTCGAGAGACGGACAACGGGGTCGTTTCATTGGTCGCACGCTATCTGGGCGCTAACGACTTTCTTGCAGTAGTTCTCTTTGGGTTTATGCGTCTTTCCCAAGGTCTCCCGCATGCTGGGATCTAAAATTCTCCCTTTTCTCCTCTTCAAACAGGCAATTTTTGATAGCTCTTTGCTTTAACCGAGCCCCGGGAATTACATGCTCGGCTCAGAGTTTCTGGACTATGTGTCAAAACTGCAAGTCGCCACGTATGTGGGCGTGGAGGACTTTGCGGACAAATTCAACTTCCTCATCACGGTGCTGGTCTTTCTGTTGTGCACTACCGTTGTGACTGTGAAACAGTACATGCTGAAGCCGATCTCCTGTTATATCGCCACGGAGGTGGGTGGACGCAACCTGCTGGATTATGTGGAAAACTATTGTTGGGTGCAGGGAACAATACCCATTTCCTACTCTGGAAATGTGCCCGAAACCGAGGAGCAGTGGGCCAAACTGGAAAGTCAAAAACTGCGTGAGTTAAAATTCCTTGTTGGCCGTTGTTGTCTTTTTATTTGACGTCGCCTTGTGTTAGACGGAATAATTAGCCACTGAGCCATTTTTGGGAAAGGTTTTTCCTATTTATCTATTTTGTGGGATAAGAAAAAAGAAAAGAAACCGGCACGGGAACCGGCCCTGCCTACATAACATGTGGCTTTGCCCAAAATTCCGGGAAAATAAGGTTTAGGATTATGGTGACGGCTAGGTTTGAGGTTGGAGTTAGGGTCAGTAGTATGTTAAGGATTAAGGTTTGGGATCGTGTAAACTGCAGGGTTAAGGTTTAGGGTAGGGCAGAGCTACGGCACAGAAAAAGGGGTACAGTTTAGTTTTATGGGTTCAACTAAATCGTAGAGCCGCCCAATGGGAAAAGTCTCCCAGCCCGAATATCCGACGGATTTCGTGGTTAAAGGTTTATTGCTTGATTAATTAGCAGTTGTTGCCTGTTTAATGCGTCATAAGTGCCCGGTAGAAAATAAATTAAAGCCGTTTGTAATTGTTGTACCAAACTTGAAACGAAGGTGAAAAGTTTGCGAAAAGAACAAAAAAGGCTAAGGGAGACTGCTATTGGTTAGCAAAGGAAGCCTATAGATCACGAAAACTAATAAGAACAACTCCTATTACTATAAGAGCTGTCCTACGATTTCTTCCTACCGTTTTATGTTATTCTTCCTGTTAGGGTTAAGACACGAGAATATGTACTCTTCCTGAAATGTATCGGAAGGCCACCTATTTTAAATCGGCACGGCCTTCCTAGGTGCTTTTGTGGAGGCAGGGGAGCAGATTCAAATGTCATTGTGTCCAGGTATTGTGTATTGCAGTAACCAACGAGAGGCGTGTTCAAGTGTTACATGGATCGCCGTACGGTCACCGGGACGGTGAATGACTATGACGCAGCACGGTTTTGCAATAATGCTCACGGTGAATCGGGTGATCCATACCTAGAATTAGCTTTGCCCGACTGATTAAAGCTACTAAGCCAGAAATGACCATTCCGGTCTCGCTTGTCTTTGTCGGTTCCACCTTAAAAATATATACACCAAGTCGCTATGCGACTACCTGCAAGGACCTTAAGTGAGCTGCAAGACACAACGAGACGAGTACGTTTCCCAACCAGATAGATGAGCGCCCTACTATCATCATACTCTCGATCGCAGCCGACAAAACAATGGGTCCATGGTTCAGTGGTAGAGCGTTACACTCCATGTCCAAAAGGTCGCGTGTTTGAATCTCAGGTGATTCACACCCACGATTGGGAATGACTGGCTGATGCTGGTTGACAAGCTAGAAATGGTCATTCCGGTATCTGTTGTCTTTGTCGGTACCACATTATCACAATTAACTACCCTACATCGATGTGCAATTGCCTGCGAGGGTCCTGAAGTGAATTGCCAGGCAAGTCCAAATCCAGGCCGGTGAGCCCCACAATATCATATATAAATGGTAGTAAAGAAGAGGAATACGCGATCTCTGGAACGATAGTTTTATTCTTAGCTTTCGGCTCTAAACGAAAAGCCATCGTCAGAGAAAATTAGAAAACAGCAAGCGTTGACTACGTGTAAATGGGGTTGGTAGGGGGTGGCAATTTGTGATTGGTCCACGTCCACGCCACTTCTATTCTCACGCTATCTTATCGTGTGTCTCCTGCGCGCGTCCGTGGAGTCACGGCGTGTGACCTTGACGCGGCAGCCTGCATGCTTGTAGAGAAACTGGGCCCTGGGTTCTGGTCACGGACACGGATGGCAAAATAACAGGGCGGTATATCCACATGCTGGTTTATGGAGTTAGGATCTGACACCCAGGTAGGTAGGCGCTCACCGATCGGTTA